ACCTGCAAAGCGGGAGCAGTCTGCATGTTGCCTCAAGCAGGAGGAGGATTTTTCCCAGCTTCAGACACTCTCCACATACCTGCACATGCAGCCACAGAAGCATACCTGCATCTACAATGGGGCCAACAACAGCCCAACTAAGCTCATGTGTGGGGATGAAATTTCAGGTTTTTGTTGATTTTTTTTTTTTTCTCTTGAGAATACCTTTAAACATCACAGTTAGTGGCACTTTCATAAGAACTGAACAAAGCAAAACAGCCTTCAACAATCCCAGCAGGAACACCATGAGATCAGCTGGCAAATCTTGTCTTCCCTGCAGTGGATCTGCAGGTATGTAAGCTTGCACCTACTGGCAAAGTCAGCAGATGTCTTACTTAAACCTCTAACACACTACTGCAAAAATTTGCTCTGCTTCTCTCACTCTGATAAGAATTTATTTTTCTGTGCTAAGTAGCAAGTACAGTTGGCTGCCATGAATTTCAAGAGCTCCTCATTTCCTTGGCATCAAATCTCTTGACCTTTCAAAATCAAACACATTTTGCTTTGCTTCAGTGGCCTTTTAGAGCAGGGGGTTTCCCCTTTTTTTTCTTAATACAACCTTTTCAAAAGGGTTTTTAGATAGAAAAGATAGAAAGAACCTACCTATTAAATTAAACAAGGCAAAACTGTTCCCTGGCACAAAATGGCCAGCATCCTTTCCTGCAATTTACACCCTCTGCTGTGGTGTGGCCATATCCAATGGTCTGCCAAGATGGTCCTTTGCCCATGCTAATTTAAAAACCGTGCCTGGAATTGTTTGGGAGAGAAGTTTAGTGGTCCAACACCATGCCAGGGACCTTGTTAACAATGTGAGAGTGTGAATGATTGAGTGCCAGTGTCCAGGAACATTTTCTGCTCCTGCTTAATTTACTTTATCATAGAATCATAGAATGGGTTGGGTTGGAAGGGACCTTAAAGATCATTTAGTTCCAACCCTGCTGCCATGGGCAGGGACACCTTCCACTTGACCAGGTGGTCTGTGGAAGTCTGTAGCAGTTTTAGCTGAGATAGTTAATTTTCTTCATAGTAGCTTCTATGGTGCTGTGTTTTGGATTTGTGATTAAACAGTGTTGATGACACAGGGATATTTTAGTTATTGCTGAACACTGCTTACACAGAGTCAAGGCCTTTTCTGTTTCTCACACCACTCCACTAGCGAGGAGACTGGGGGTGCACAAGAAGTTGGGAGGGGACAGCCGACCCCAACTGACCAAAGGGATATTCCATACCATATGACATCATGCTCAGCATATGAAGCTGGGGGAAGAAGGAGGAAGGGTGGGACACTAGGGGTGATAACTTTTGTCTTCCCAAGTAACCATTACATGTGATGGAGCCCTGCTATCCCAAAGATGACTAAGTATCTGCCTGCCAATGGGAAGCAGTGAATTAATTCCTTATTTTGCTTTGCTTATGCATGCAACTTTTGCTCTTTCTAGTAAACAGTCTTTATCTCAACCTTTGAGTTTTCAGTTTCACCCTTCTGATTCTCTCACACTTTCCACTGGAGGAGGAGTAAGTGAGCAGCTCTGTGCAGCTGGGATGCCTACCAGGGTTAAACCACTACATAGTTCCAGCCACAGACCACTGCACAGCTTGGCCAGGGCATGTTTTCCATTCTTTAAGTCAAATACAAGAAATTCAGGTGGTGCAGTAGTGGCCTCCCAAGCATGTGCTTTGCCATACATTGCTCTCTTCTATTCCAACCTGGCTTGATATCTACAGATCCTACAGACAGATCAGACAAACCCATCAAACAAATTTGCAGCACCAGCGAGACAAGCCTCCCTAAAGGAACTTCTCTGCTCTCGTGACTGATGACAAGGCTGCTGTCTTTCCTGCTGCCTACACAGGGTTGCCATCAGCCCCCAGGGAAGGAGGGAGCCGACAGTGGTGAGTCATTTGGCTCTTTCTTATAGGCAATGCTCATATCCTGCTGCAGTGCAGAGAGACTGAAGAGAACTTTGCTTCACTCATTCAAAGTTTCCTCTTGGAAACTGGTCCTTCCAACAAAGCATGACTGTACTGCATTAGCAGCCACAAGGACTGGTGTTGATGGAAAGCAGTAGCAATATCAACAGTAGCAATATCTCAAGCATACTTATTAATAATTATGTCTGCTATATTACTTCTACAAGCCCCAATTTCCCTTTTTGTGAAGCTGTGAAAAAGGTGCACAGGATGCAGCTTGGCAAGTTAAAGCAGGCAGGTCATCTCATACCTAATTAGAGAAAGGGTGGCACCAAGGGCTTCGCTTTACACATTCTCAGGAGAACAGGAATTCCCAGATGAACAAGGCTCTCTGGGTTTCTTTTGTCTAAGAAAACAAGAATTTCTACAGAAAGAATGCAGATAAAAGACAAAGTTTTCTTTATGCCTGTCTTTTCAGTGCTAGAGAAACAAAGGATATACAGGTATTGCACAGAAGATGTATAATCACAATTGTAACCTTTTCTATTATTTATAAAGATGATCTCCATGACTGCATACAAAAGAAGATTCCCCAGTCTGCACATAATAGTATATGGCATAGCATCATAAATAATGAGTAGCGATGCAATCAGATAAGAAGGATTTACATTATTTAAGCCAAGCTGGAAGAAGTGACAAATTGCAGTTTAATGCAGATAAGTGGGGAAAAAGGATGTGTAAAGCTTTGGAGTGGCAGTTGGTAATGACAGCCTGTAAATAAAATGGACGGTTCACAGTACTGACTAGAAAAAAGATTTCAGAATTCATAGGGAGGAAAAGAATTTCAAAGCAAGCAAAGGACCTCATTGCTAAAGAGAGTCTATATAAATGGAAAGAGGTACAATTATGATACTAGACAATATCGGTGAGATATCTAATATGTGCTTGGATTTTCAGAGGAGAAATCCAGTCTCCAGAAGGGGAGTATAACCAGCCTCCAGTGCCATATGTTGCATGAAACAATCAGCAGAGACTTCAAAGATTAGAACTCAATGCTTTAGTGAGAAATTTAATACAATATAATGTAAGTGAATTCAGCAATAATTCCTTATTTACCTGCAAGTATATGAGATGAGAATTTGACCTTGGTTAGGAACAACCACCAACAAAAGGAAATGTGAAAAAGGAAGAAACTATAAAAGCTGGATCCAAGCAATGATATGAATTATATTGTTAGTGAAACTTTCATCTAAAGGTCCTACAGGGCTTTGCAAAGACTTCTTACAGGGTTAAGACATATATTTACAATTATGCTCATTTTTTTAACTGCAGAAATAAGGCATAAGAATAAATGAATCATCTAAGATCCCAGAAAAGGCTTGCTTTACCCAAGCAGACTACCTGAACTCTACTTTCTTATCCCATAACTGTAGGCTGTAATGTTTACAAAGACATAAACCCGATATTAAATTTACTTTCTCGTTCATGTTGTGTGCTATTTAATACTACCTGCATGCTTCTACCTTTGGCAGTGGTACAGGGAGGCACAATAACTACAGAGCCCAAGCAGCCAGTCACTTAGAATTAGAGATCCATTTGTAATGCTATATATTATCTCTAACTAAAAATGCATTTGTTGAGCTTTAACAGAAATCTGTAGAGCAGATTTTTATGGTGGGCTTGATTCTGCATGCCTCTGAAACAAACAGGATTATTTATTGTGCCTGGGACAACAGAATAGAAAACAAGACCATACAAGATGCATCTAAAAGTTCACATAACTCCATAATATCTCACCTCCAACAGTGACCCAACAGTCTGCCCTGTGAGACTCTCACGGCAGTGGGCTGCACTGGCGTCCCACCAGTGCCCTCCAACCTGTGCTCTGTCAATACCCACATGGCTCACTTGCCATTTGTATGCCACCAAGGCACAAACTGAGGGGAACTTACACTATCAGGAGAGAGCCATAGGCTGTGATGAACCAGCTTGTTGTCTGAATCAAATCTACAGACTGTTCAGGACATTATTGGCCTTGGGCATTTTCGCAGTGCCATTTGTGAGATGTTCTTGCTCCTTTCAGGGGCAGGGAGAGGAGTGCCCCAGAAAAGTCTCCCCTGGGTACATACAGTACATGAAGCTGCCTCTCCCAGCTCCTCCAGAACCTGCTTGCTTGACCTTCCTCACTCTTTTTTTTTTTTTAAATGCCTTCCTAAGTCCTAACATTCAATTGCTTTCTGACCAGTAGTGAACATCATGTTGGCATTTTCAGTAGCTTCTAGAAGGCACTGCAACCTGACTCTTACCCCCGAAGGAAAGTAAATCCAGGAAGTCATATGTCTGAGCAAATGTGTTTCTAAAAGCTGAAGATCAGCAAACACAGCCTCTGGTGGTACAAGGATGCTCTTACTTACTTGGAAAATCCAAAGATAAATGAGCTATCTCTCTGCTGCCAGTGCAAATGATCTCTGTGTTGTACTCTGCACTATTGGTTCCTGGGCATGCATCTGACTCCAGATACAATGCAGCTCATCTCCCCTGCATCCTGTGTTCCTGCATGGGAAGAAATCCAGGCATGCAAGCAAAGAAGATGATATGGTAGCACTGATCCTGGCCTGTCTGATCACAGAACCAAGATATCAGGACTGTAAAGCTTTCCTGTGTTTTGTTTTGTTTTACTGAACATAACTATCTAACTAACAGAAGCAGAATTATACCAAACCAGAGAGGGAGACAAACAAAAAGACAGAAAGAAAACTAAACAGAAGCCCCCAGAGGAGAACTAAATGGAAACGGTACTTTGACAAAATAAACTTGCCTTGTGTCACAGAGAGCCACTAACTTCTTTTACCCTCAGCTGTGGTATAGCAGCATAACATCACCACTGACCCTCTTCCTTGACGAATGCAACTCTATAGCAACGAGAAACAGCCAACAAAGTCCTCATCTGCCTGTGACCCCTACAACTAATTATTTCATCCACTGCTTGCTGCCTTGTTAAACGCTGCAATAAATAACGGCAGTGTTTGTGAATAGACCAGGTAACTAACCACTTGCCGTAGGACGAACATCCAGTGCTTGTTAGTGGCCTTTGTACATGCCCTCAGCTGTAATTCTGCAATCTTAATTCCAGCAAAATTCCCATCATCTTCAACCTCAACTGCCATTTCCTGACTTTTGAGCACTTAACCATGCAATTTTAACATTCCTTTAATGTTGATGTTCGTCAATGGAATAATTCATTATGTTATGTGTAGTTTAGGGACTGTGTAATTCTTTCTAGCAAGTAGCAGCCTTTAATGAATGGTACCTGATCAGTAATGCAGAATTCAACATTTGAAAATAAATAAAAATCCTTTTTCATGAGGGGTGTCTGTAGGAAATGTCAAAACCATTTATCAAGGGTCCACGCTGATAGCCTGCAGCTGCTGTCCACAAGAACTATAAAAACGAACTTTGTGGAGTCCTGCAAATATGTTTTTTGTTTTGAGTGTAATTAGCTTTTTCCACAAGCAAAACACAAAATAAGGACTTACTGAGTATGAATACAATGGTCATTACCAGAGGTTTTTTTAAAGTACAACCCTGCCATAAATAGTACTTTGTCCCTAAGCTGCTAGTTATACAGGATTATTTTATCTTGGTTTCCAGGTGCACCTTTAAAACAATCCTCATTGTAACTCTGTACAGGCTGAGCTGCCTAATACAAATGCAAAAATGCATTTGTATTTGGGTTTCAGAACCTCAGATTAACAAAGCGATTGGACAAACATTACAGCCAAGACAATGGTAAGTACTTTACCTCTTCCTGATATATAGGTGAAGGACGTATCAAAGGAGCAAGTAGTTTTGACTGTTTTGGAATGCTTTTATATTTCTTAATAAATGATCTAACAGAGAAGCACAGGGCAACTCCAGCTCCTTTGCTGATAATCTGCATCCAGTGGTAAATAGAGTAGTAATAGTCAAGGGCTATAATCACCACTGTCAAATATGAGCAATATGACAGAGGTTTAATGAAGTTTGCTTTAGTCCCACATGGCTTAAAAACTTTATTGTAAGTGTCAGAGTGATCCCTCCTTGTCAAATCCTAAGTGTAGTGTGATCAGTTTTCTAGGCATGTTATTTAAATAGCTAAGAATAATCTCATTCTGGACTCCGCATATCCAAGCAAGGCTCTTTCCATTGCACCCATCACCAGAATGGGGACTGCATCAGCCATGTAATCTTGCTTCCTAAAGATCAAGCTCTTGATCACTTAGGAGTTGCACAAGAAGGCTTCACATTTAACTAGCCTGAACTACACTGATAATTTGATTTCTGTCTTTCCTGATGCAGGCAGAGTGATCTGGTGGTGAATAAAGACAACTGAAGGACCTTGATGGCGTTAGGCAGGCAAAAATTTTACAGCTCCATCCTCTCTTTCAGAGGTGGGTGGCAGAGATGGCTGCTTCATCTCCTCTAAAATCTTATCATTTCCACTTTGGTCACAATGATGTCATCATTAGTCAACAATGAGATCCAGAATTCTCAAAACTGAGATCACTCAGCAAGGGCCTTGGTACCTCCAATGGGTAACAATCCCTGCAGAGACACTGCATCTCTGTTAACATTACTGGAGATGTCCCTAGCTACTACACCAATGAATTTGTTTCTAAATCCATCTCTTTAAACAGTCCTGTTCCTCTTACTATGAAAATTTCTATGATAACACTGCTATTTGTCATGGGTGGCACTGCATGCCAGACAATGGCTATGAAAGTAGCAGTCAGTGCACAGGTTTCACAAATGACTGAAGCAACTAACCATCTCTTGAGCAATAAAGGGATCTCTGATTTTAAGATAATTCATCCTCCATGCTTGTCACTGCTGTAGCTTAGTTTCAAGGAAGAAATTATCTTTGATGCTTATAACTTTTTGTCACTCATCACAAAATAGAGAGATTAATGAAGAAAAAATAGGAGAGGGGGGAGGGGTTTTTTTTAAGAAGCATCTTCCCACAGTATAGATTAGAGCATAGGCAGAACAAATAAGCAAGGTAAATTATATAGGAAGGACAAAAGGGAGTAGATGCCACAACAAACAACACTTTCATAGTGATTTTTAATGTGCAGCAAAGAATGAAACTTGATGAAATATTCAAACTGAAAGTCTAAACTTGATCATAAATGAGCACTGTGTGGTAGGGATGGAGACAGCTCTACTGCCTGCCTGTCTGGTGAAGGATGGTTTTATACCACAAAACCTGAAAAAGGTATGTCTTGAAGTTGGACTGCTTGAGTACAGACTGATCATATGCATCAGTATGATATGTGAGAAGCACAGAAAGCAAGTGTGGCCAGGGTTGGGCCAGGATCCAAATGAAAGTCATGCCAACCACAACAATATTTAGATTTTCACTGTTGGAGCCAAAGCCCTAACTTGGATCAACTTGGTTTTTCCTCACTTCTTTCAGTACATAAAATCCTTCCAAATAGTTCCTGGAATTGACAGTACCACATTTAGACAGAATGGACCACAAATCTGTCCATCTGGGAAGCCTCAGGTACAATCACAGGCATTATAACAACTATTCCAGTGAAAAATTAACAGTGTAAGTTTTTAATTGCACTTCTAAAGCCGCCTTTGTCACTTGTCCAGTACTACAGCTATACATCAGCCCTTCATTTTTTTAAAGACTGTCCTCACAGCAAGTCATCTGTGAGTGCTGCAAACAGCGCAGCTCTGTGCTTACTTCTTTAATGGCCAAGTATCTTTCATTCTTACATAGTATTTTTGCTATACAAAGAAAAAATTGGGATATAGATCTTTGCATCTCAACTTTGGGTATATTTACATCTGGCTTTCGATTCCAATTATTCAATAACATAAAGCCTAATAAATGATAGTATGTCATGGTTTACACACAACTTTGACTATATCAATGCTCTTACTGTATTTCTGTTAAATGCTGCACCTCTTACCTGTCTGCATGTGAGTGCGCATTAGCTAATGGTCAATACAAGTTTTGGTAAGGTAAATATTGAACTCACTAAAGTAAAGGAAATTCATTGTGTCATTAATTTCTACCCATTTGCATAGACACTGAAAAAAATATGGTCTCTGTCAAGATGCTTCAGGACATAATCCCATTCGCTGTGCAGTAAGAAGACAGAACAGAGTACATTTTCAATTGAGTGACTATCTCTGAATGTCCTAGGATAGTGTGGGATCCAGTAAACTCTTAATATTATTTTAATTAAGTTGTTACAGTCCATCATGTCAAAACATAAAAATACAGATTATATAAAACTGCATTAGGGAACCTTACAAAGGCCTGATTAATGGCGTGATAGGTTGTAAAATGAATCCAAACTGTAAATTTATACCAAGGGCTTTTCTAAAATGTGAATTATTGACTTGACAGATCATAATAACTCTTTCCAAACTATTCTGGTCTATGGTTCAAATCTTTTCTGTATAGCTCACTGACATGCACAGTAAGGCTAATTTACTATGTCTCTTACTGCATGAACATCCACAGACTGTGACATCCTACAAAATGTATCATGAAATATTGCAAGTGACCAGACGGACAAAGGCACAAGGAAGAAAATGTCACTAATCTATAATGACTTCCAGATAAGAGTAACTCAGAATGCCTCCTACTAGCTCACCTGGCAGAAAGGTTTCTGCCACTAACGAGGTACACCGATGCCTGAATATGACGCATGTAATCTGCTTTATGTATCAGCTACCTTGGCTCTCCGGTGATTTCCATTAGAAAAAGGTGGTTTATTTGCTGTTTCAGGATGCCATTATTTTCTATAGCCCTAAGACAGGAGAGATATTTCTAACACCTAGCAGATGTCATCTAGACTGCTATATTACCATGAGCCTCAAAAAACCACTTGAACCCAAAACTTCTTATCAGGATATATTTTAATCACCTTTAATTACCTCTGAGGACTAGAGCAAACCTCAGCTCAACAGATAGGAAATCTTAAACACTTGCAGGCAAAGAAGGTATTCTGGATCCTATGGAGCTCAGCCCCTATAGAGCATGCAGATGCAACTTGATCAAGTTCTGGCAAACAACACTCGCTGTTGCAAGTATCTACAAAAGCCATTAAAACGTAGTCCCCTCTCCCCTAAACGGCAGGGATGAACTCAAAGCCTGTCTTGCCAAACCTCTAATGTGGCATTTATTTCCCTGAAATTAAAATTCCAATCTCAGATCAGCCAGCATATTTTGCAAAATGACTTCTTTTTTCCTTGATAAGAGGACGACACTCACACATATCTAAGTTGAAAAATTGTATCTTGTTGTAACACGTACAGTTAAAGCTCTTTTGGTTACAAGAAATCACAAATACATTTTCACTTGACAACTTTCAATTACATCTTTAAAAAACCAACACTTGGAATTTCTATTTTATCAGAACAGAAATTTTTATATTTTAAAATCTGTTTTTGTTTGGAATAGAAATAAAAATCCACAAGACTGAAATTTTCTGAGAAATTCTGAAATTATTTTGGATTAATTTTAAAAGTCTGTGTTGGTAAAACAAACTGTTTTCCTCTCACTGACTTTAAAAATACTTTGAAAATGTAGTTTATATTATGCATTACATAAAGAAAAAGTAACTTTTAAAGGAAAATACTCCATACCTCTAGAGTACTATCAACGCAAACTTGGGTTTTTTTGGAGGGAAATGACAAACAAAAACCAATCAACCAAAACAAAACAAAAACTAATTGACAATTTTTCAGCTATTTGTAGCTCAATCACTAGTTCAACTTTCAATCAGTTCCATCTGGTTTTAAATAATCCAATTAGATTAATATTGGGAACTAGCATGACCTGACAGGGAGTGGCTATCCTGAAAAATAGCCACTAATACAAAAAAGGACAGTAGATAATCAAGTTGTTGCTTTAGTCGAACCAGACCTACTAACTGGGCAAGTGTTAAACACTTATATACTTGAAAGCTTTAAGGAAATGCCAGTAGAGAAATAAATATTATTTTTTAAAGCCTTTACATTAGACTCCATAAAATTGAGGAAAATAAGACTGAGCAAACTAATGTCTATAGAGTTCCAATCACACAATTATATATCTTCTTGAACTAGCATAATACGAATTTTGGAGAGCTAATTTCGCTTCATTACTTTCTCTGGAGGTGTA